GTCCGAGACTGCCTGTGATGACATTCTCCAGTCATTTCCCTGGTGTCTGCTGATAAGCACAGCTCTCTGGGTGTTGGGTTCCAGCTTGAACCCACCTGGCCCCAGCTGCCTGACCCTGGTGCTGCACTACAGCATCTCTGGTCTGTAAAGTTTTCCAGTTCCTCTCACTGCCCTCGACAACTTCCACAGGGCACTGTTGGCACAGGGCCGCACTGGCACAGAGCCCCAGCACCCTCCTGAGACCGGCCTTTGTCTCGACCGGCTGTTCCTCAATGCAGAGCTGCCTCCCACCCTGCTCCCCTCAGTCATGAGCTCACTCAAGCTGATGCCAAAGAAATCCCCAGGTGGACGGTTTTCAGAAACGTCCTGCCCTCCAGCCACTTTGTCAGCTCTGGAAATGCAAGGCAGAAAGAATTTCAAGGCCAGACTCCTGGAGCCCCGAGGGCCAGCTCTTGCAACAGACCCGCTAATGCAGCACATCTGGACAAACACAGCAGCCCACCATGTGCTCTCCATCAGCATCTCACTTCTGCCTCACCACAGCCTTGACCCTGGGGATACTGTCCCTATTTTGCAGACACGGAAATGGATGTTATTCAGCTGGGAAGGAGAGGACCCAGGACTTAACCCCAGATGTCTTAGCTCCAAATCCACTCTGCCTCAGCTTCCAAATGAGCACATGTGCAAGACAGCTTAGACCTGGTCATGCTGAACTGTACTTACATGTTTACCTGTCTATCTTACTGTGGGCAGGGATGGCATTAGGTTCCTTTTTATGCCCTTGAAGCTGAGCACCGCGCCTGGTACAGAGCAGACACCATGTGAAGATGCACCAAGCATCTAGAATACCGCTACCTCACCAAAGGACACCTCTCAACCTCTCCCATGCTTCCTCAACTACGATCTGTTCAGTCACCCTGCAGAATCAGCAGGTTAGATGGCATTGTATCTACTTTACAGCTGCGTAAAGAAGTCCAGAGAGATTCTGTGATCTGTCCAGAGTCACACAGCCAGAGAGGATGGGGCTGGACCAGGACCCAGATATTCTGACATCTAGTACCTGGTCTCCTCCATGACATGATCCCAGGGACCTATAAGCCTAACAACTTACCCAAGGAGGATAATCTACAGGGAGATGGGCAAGGCTCCCAATAGGATGTTTTCCTTCCAATATGTCTTATTCCTGAAGATTTTCAAGTTCCCATCAACTTGAGGCAGCGTACATGGACACACGAGGAGGCGCTATGGGGCAGAGGGCAAGGGTTCTGTAGCCAGGCAGTCTGGGTTCCAACCCTACAGGGCGTTCACTGCTCTGAGGCTTGTTCGTGCCCTCACCCCTCTGAGTCCTCATCCGTAACATGGTGATATTCCCCATGCTGGTCCCAATGGGTCACTGTGATGATTACATGAGGCAAAGTGAAGACTCAGACCTGGCCTGGCACACATTGGTATTCACTGAATGTTGGTTCCTGTCCCCAGTGAGTGATTTCAGGGACCAGGGAAGAAAAAGGTGCTGTGACACCAGCAAATCCTGAGGCAAGGCAGGGGCTGAAGATGGAGAAGAATCCACAATTCATCCCAGAGGCCTTGGATCTTCTCTCCACATACCATCCAGGATCCTGGTGTGGCTATGAGGTGCTGACAAGGCACTCCCAGGAGACTGGGAAGGGCGAACTGGAAAGGTCTCAGAGGCCAAAACAGGCAGAAGCTGCTGTGTTGCCTGTGACAGAATGAGGGCTCAGCATCAAATCCGCAGCTCTGCCTGGGTAGGAGGAATCACTGTCTTCCCTCTCCCACATCCCTAAGCTGGACAGTCACCTCCCACTGTCCAGGTCAGGCTCAGGAGACCTGCTGCAACAGCCTCACTCCTGGCCCCTGACTTCAACTGCCAGCCATGCTGGGCACCAGAATGCACTTCCCAACAGAAGACTGGGACCCTACCACAGCTCCCTCTTTCAAACCGATCCCACAGAGACAGTTTTCTAGTCTAGAGGCCTGTGACTCTTCTAGAGCCACCTGCCTTTTTGCACAGGTTGTTCCCTCTGATGAAGACAAAGATACCCTTCTTTGTCTACCAGCAAATTCTCATACATTTGATTCAAGAAGCCACCTCCTCTGTGAGGCTTTCCCAGTCTAACCTGCCCCTCACCCAGGAAAGGCCACCCATGCTGTGAGCTCCCATGGCCCTTGGGCTGCCCCTGTTAAGGTACTGGCCCACTTCTGTGGCCATCTACAAATCGGTGTAGATGGACAGAAAGCTCCCTTCTGCTTTGTGGTGAACATAACAATTGGTGCAACCCTGCAGGATGCTTAGGGCTCTGGCCACTGGTGAAATCAGGTTTAGGACCAGAATCAAAACTCTGCCTTCTATTGTCGGTGCAATCCAATGAATTTCTATCTACACAATGTAATACATACTACAAACCACTTTTCATTTATTTGCACATGTAATTCATCATCTTATTTAATACACCAGATCAGTGGAGCAAGAATTAATATCCTCACATTTTAAATAAGTTACTTGTCCCAGGCCACAGAGGTAGGAAGCAATGGGGTGGGAGTAAAATCCGGGTCCTTTGACTCTAAGAGGCTGGATCACTCGGCCTCAAGATTGGTCTCCTGACCTCCAGCACCACCCACAAGCCAGAGACCAGTTTCACAGAATTACCAACCCCACCCTGCTGTCTCTGTTTAAATCCTCCAGGAGCTCTCCATTGCCTACAGGGTCAAATCCCACTTCTCGGCCTGGCATTCAAGGCCTTGGTGATTTGGTCCCTGCCTTCCCAGCCTCAAGTTCAATTCCAATTCACCACCCTCAAGACCTTGCGTCTGCGGATCCACCATGCGGACCACCCGTGCTGTTTTCATGCACAGGTCCTGCACGTGCTGATCCTTTTGTGGGAGATACTTCCTGCCTCCCCTCCTGTGTACCCACTGACTTCAAAACCCACAGCAGGAGGAACCTCCCGTGAGGCCCCTCCCCTGGGCTATTCCCACAGAACCCCTCTTAGGACTTGCTTGGGCCAGGGGGCTTTCAGGGAAGACCCAACCCTCTTTATGAAGTGTCCTCAGTGCCCAGGCCAGCCTTGCTCTGAAAAAGGAAGCATGAACTCTTAAGTGCATCCCCTGTGTTGACCCAGGAATTATGATTAAGAAGAAAATTGATCTGGACTCTACCACCCACAAACTGTCATTTAAAAAGTAAGAGGAGAAAAGGTCAATCCCCGTCCCTTCCCTTTCCATGTTTGACTCATTTATCAGCTTTTGCCTTTCCTGGTGTTGGAGGAAGGGTAGGTGGAAGCCCGGTGGCTGTAGCATTGCAGCCTTCCTGGGGAGCAAAGTAGTGCCTGGGAATAGGTCAGGTCAGAATGGAGGTGTAGGTTAAACATCAAAGTGTTTCTAGGTTCTGGGATCTGAAGCAGTCAGCCAGAACAGAAGAGGCTCTCAATACCTCCCCTTACAGAAGGGAAACTGAGGCCAGAGAGGGAAAGGAAAATGCCCACAGTTGTCTCTTTCCCAGGTTAGCGGCTGTGCCCCTCCATCATGTCTGCAGCATCCGACAAAGCTCTAGGTTAAAGACTGGAGTGAGCCGTGGGGAGGAGGGTGGTTAGGGTTATCTTTGCGACTTAGGCTCAAAAGCCCAGCAGGCTCCTGCCGCTCTGAGCCCTCCCTCTCCGGTCAGTCCCAGGCACTGCAAGTCTAGACTTATCCGGAGGGCAGGGCGCACAACGATGAAAGAAGGATCGAAGGTCTGAGTCACCTCCTCGCCAGGCCAAATGTGGGCTGGCGCTGCTCTCCGCCCGGCTCCAGCAGCGCGGGTTATTCCCACCGCACTCCCTGAGCTGCGAGGGAGTTCTCGCCCTGTCCGTGCCAGAGTGACCGCGACTCCGCGAAGCTGAGCAACTTGCCAGCGCCGCACAGTGGGCCAGTAGCCATCTCAGTTGAAACCTGTGTGTGTGAGGCTCCCACGGCCCCCAGCCCAGCTCCGGGTCCTGCGAGGCGGCGTCTCGGGCATGATCTGAACTGGCAGTTGCTCGCTCCCTTACCAGGTCGGAGGGTTGGTCCCCCTCCCTCGGGGGCGGGCTGCAAACGGAGAGCGGGTCTCAAAGCGGAGCCTGTCTCCCCACCAAACAGACACAACTCTCTGGGTCACACTCTTTCCAAGAAGCGCGGGGAGGGCAACGCCAGCGCCCGGTCCCTTCCTCTCCCCAGCCCAGGACCGGAGCCCAGGACCCACCTCTCGCCTCCTCCTCCCAGCCGGGGTCTGCAGGGGAATCCGCAACGCTCCTCCCAGCCCCTGCCCGGCCAGTCCCCAGGCGCTGCGGATTCCCCCGACCACCAATCCCATCGCAGCCCCTTGCGGTCCTGGGACCTTAGGAGGGAGAGGGGGAGGGCTGCCTGCGCCCCCGGCCGGGCTGCGGTGGGGAGGACGGGCTGTTGCCGAGGAATCGGGAGAAAAGTTTGGAGCCAAGTCGTGGGCCTGAGTGGACAGCGGGGAGGTGGGGCGGAGTTGGGCTCTCGGCGCGCACACCCTCTGTGGACACCCAGCCCAGACACGTCGGCAGGCACCGACCACGTATGCGGACACACGCGATGTGCCCACCGACGCCCACAGCCAAGCGCAGGCCCGCAAACGTGGACACCGGCGCAAAGCAGCCGCGCAAAGCCACGGATACACAAAGGCACCAGCAGCGGCGCGTCCCCGACTGCAAATCCACAAAGACCCACAAACATGAGATGCACGTGTCCGCACAAAGACCCACACGGCCCCCGGGCGGAGCCTTTGTCTCCCGCAAGCCCTTTCCCCTGAGTTAGCGTTCCCCACTCCCGCCCAGCCCCAGGCGTCCGGTTAAAGTTGAGGGGCCTTGGCGGGACCCAGCCCCGCCCCTGCGACCGGCGTCCCCCACCCGCCCGCCGAAGGGGCCGCGAGGCTGAGGTCGGGGACTCGGGATCTTCACCCGCAGCGCGAACTCTCGCCCCGTCCGGGGACCCGCACCCACCTGGAAGCCTGCGCCGCAGCCGCCTCGGCACGCTCACCCCGGCGGCCCGGCCGCGGGCCCTCCGGCCGGCGCTTTTCTCCCGGCGGCGCGGCCCGCCCCCCGGTCCCCGCTCGTAGCCGGGCTCCCCCCTGCCGGGCGCCGGGTGGCTGCTCGGGCCAGCCGCGGGGCGGCTCAGGGAGTGTCGCCAAAGTGCCAGCCTCTCCCGGCGCGCGCCCCGCCCGCGGAGCCGGAGCTGAGCCCGGGTTCCACTCTAGGGAGCGTCTCAAAAGTGCGCAGCTCCTGCCCCCTCCAGTAGGCTTCGCTCACAGCTTCCTGCATCCCGGATCCCTGCCCCCTCCCCCTGCGCGCCCCAGCAATCTAAGCAGATGGCCTCACTGTCGGGAACATCTGGAGGTCGCCGGAGTACGTGCCTCTCTGTGTGTGTGTGTGTGTGTGTGTGTGTGTAGAGAGAGGGAATTAGTTGCTAGTAAGGAAGAGATGGGGTGGGTGGGTGAGGGCTTCCTCTTTGCTTGTTCACCGCCCTCCCCGTTTTTTTTTTAAAGAGTGAAAGAGGTTCAGGGACGACAGGGAGCCAGAAACCAAGAATCTGAAGCAAGAGAAAGACTGGCTGAAAGACGAACCCACAGAGAAAAGAGAGCCCGGCTCGGGCAGAAAAGCTGGCAGGAGAGGAGAGAGAAAGTCAACAGATTGAGTTTTTCTTTTATGGAGGAAACCATTGGCTTCTGGTTAGAGTTCTAAGAAGGGAAACTGGCGTATGAGTAGGCAGCAGTTTCAATCTATTCCCCCTGCTGCAGCTCTTGGGCTCTCACCCCTCTTTATGCTAAAAAAAAAAAAAAAAAAAAAAAAAAGGCAAGGGCGGGGGGCAGGAAAGCATCCAAGACACTTTAAAATGAGGGTTTGCAGGAGAAATGACCTGGTGGATGCATTCCCTAGGAGGGGAGAGTTGGGTGTGTGGGTGTCTCCCAGTGTACACACCCAGACAATGCCTACCTCGGGAGAGGAGCAGTTCACAGGTGGGGGAGTTGATAGAGGCTTTGGTCTTGGGCCCTGGACCTCCCAGGAGCTTCTCCCAGACTTTGGAGGGCCTCGGGGTGCAGAAATTGGGCAACGTCCCCCCTGCAGTGGCCCAGACTCGTTAACACACCCAGTCTGTTTGCTGCTTCTTTCCTTATTACTTTTTCTTATTAAGTAAATTTAAAATTAAAAAAAAAAAAAAAAAAGGAGTTGCTTGGGCCTGGGTGTGTGCACGCATGCCGGTCTACTTTGGGAAGAAGGAAGACACTAGAGTGATGGTGAGGTAGGAGCAGAGGCCACTACCCTAGGCCTCAGGCCAGCAAAATCATCTGCTGCCCAGAAAACAAACTGGTCTTGCAGGTCCTCCATGCACTCAGAGCCATTGTGTGGTCTTGGGGATGCACTTGGTTTGAGACCTGTGGACCCTGCCAGTTAGGGACGTGCAGAGAAAAGGCTGGGAGCCTGGTCTCATATGTGTGGAAGCAGGGAGAGCTCCCCTCTCTCCTTTCCATTCATCGTCCTCACCTGATTAGAATCCCAGCTTTCAGAACTAGGAGGCCTTCTGTGATCACCAGCTCACACTCCTCATGAGTCTTTGGGATGGCACCATGGGCCCTTTGGTGTCCAGTGTCTTCCTCACTGTTGGGCTTAAAAGGGCTGCAGGGATTCAACTCCACAACCCCTGGGACCCATAGAGAGGAGTCAGGCCCCTCCCATTTCTCACCTTCGCATTCCCTCCCCTCTCTAAAGGCTCCCTGCCTAGATGGGAGAGAGACCTGGATGGGAGCATCCGGTGAAGGCCAAGCTTGGTCAGGATTCAGTTTCCAGCCCTGCCACTTACCAGTTCTGGGTAACTTTAGGCAAGTTACCTAACCTCTCTGAGACTCAGTTTCTGCAACTGTAGAAGAGGCTATTCTGAGGAATAAACAAGGTAATTTAGGTAAAGCATTCGTCTGGCTCACAGGAAGGTCCTTTGTGTGGTTGCTAAATGTCTTCCGTCAGGGACTGGGGTAGAGGTTGGAAAGCCCAGCAGGCTTGGGAGGGGAGCGTGCCTGGGAATGGCCTCCGTACTCCCTGGCTTGGCTAGCTTATATTCCTGCTGCTTCCTCCCCTCCCATAGGGACATTCTTTGGAAGGAATGGCACCCCCCTCCCCTTGCCCTGGACTGATGATTTCCATCCTCTACTCCATGTGGAATTGTTTAGTGAGTCTCAAGTCCAGCATCTGAGAACTGGAGATGAAAAGACCCAACTGCCCGGGATCTCAGGGAAGCTAACTCCCACTGCATTGTGTGTGCAGGGTCTAGCCAGCTGGGCTGGAGGCTCCAGACCTCACATTTAACACAAAAGTGATCAACAACCCTTCACACTTTGGCTGGTAGCTGGCAGCAGTTTCTGAGCACTTCCACATTCATCATTTCCTTTGATCTCCCCTTAGGGAGAGGTGGCCTTAAGGGGCTTCAGCTGATGGATCTCCATGAACTTTACCCACCTCCCCTCATAACTGTGCCTCCAGTTGAGAATCTCTGTGCCTCTAGACTCTCCTCTCCTGTCTACTATCCACATTCCAGCAAGAGTGCCCTTTCTAAACTGCAGATCTGCAAAATGGATCATGACACTTGCCTGCTTAAAACCTTTCAATAGCAAAAGCCAAACTGCTTGGCGTAGCATTCAAGGCCTGTGTGATATGCCCCCACCTCACTTTCACTCTCCAGCATCAGTTCTGGCCACCCCCTCGCACACATCTCAAGCTCTAGTCCCCTAGTCACCTGGAAAGAAGGGAAGGGAGGTGGACCTTCTCCATTCAAGTCTGTTCGGTGTCCTCGCCCCCAGGGAGCTCTCTCTCTGGTGAACTTGGCCTCTCCGTCTGTGATATTGCCATGCCCTCTGTATGTAAGCACCATCATTTTCACTGTTCTCTTCCCCTTCTTGTGATCATCTTGGCCACTGTGACATGTCTGAGACTGTGCTGGATACGTTTAAGATCATGATTTAATCCAAACAACCACACTAGATGGATAGTGGTGTGGCCCAGAAAGGGCAGGAGATCTGTCTGGGGTTACGTAGCATGTTCTCTGCAGAGCTGGAACAACAGTTAGGGCTCCAGTGCTCTTTCTGTTGCCTTATAATCTCCACAAAGAGCAGAGGTGGTGTAGCAGAAAGGCCTGGGAATCTAAGGATTTCAGGTGCAAACCGTCACTCTATCCCTGGCTAGCTGTGGACTTTGGGTAAGTCATTTCCTCCTCTAAGCCACAGTTTCATTACCTGTAAAATAGGGATAAATAAGAAGTCCTACCTCCCAGGGATATCGGGCTGATGAAAGGAATCAATACAGATACAAATGTATTACAAGCTATAGGGTGCAGTGTGCTTTTATTTATTTATTTAGAGATGAGGTCTTACTCTGTCACCCAGGCTGGAGCACAGTGGTGCAATCATACATAGCTCACTGCTTCCTTGAGTTCCTGGGCTCAAGGGATCCTCCTGCCTCAGCCTCCTGAGTAGCTGGAACTACAGGCACACCACCACCGTGCCTCGCTAATTTGTAAATTATTTGTAGAGACGGGGGTCTTATCTTGCCCAGGCTGATCTCGAACTCTTGGGCTCAAGCAGTCCTCCCGCCTTGGCCTCCCAAAGTGCTGGGATTACAGGTGAGAGCCACCGTGTCTGGCCGTGGTGTGATTTTAACTGACTTACCTGAACAGCCATACTGCAGCTGCGGGTGATCTGTTGAAGATCTCTTTTCTCGAAGAGCTCTCGAGTGGCGGTCAGAAGACACTATTCGTCCCTTCAGCTGCTTTGCTCATTTTCCATGTTTTGAGACAGGCCTTTCATTTTCTGTCCTTCATTATAGCTGTCAAGCCCTGACCAGAAAACTCTTCAGATCCTATGTATCTCCGTGAGCCTCCAGGATCTCTATTTTTCTTGCTACATTTTCTTCTTTTCAGCTGTCAGAAGCTGGCAGGTCTTAAGTTAATAGAGCATCAGAACCATGTGTGGAAATAGCAGACAACAAGAGCCGGAAGAAAAAGGATGTGTCTCCACGCCCGCCGCCAACCCTGACTCTGTAGATGCGGCGTGTGGCAGGTTATGTTTTCTAAAAGTTCCTCTGGTGATTCTGATGTCAGTACGAGGGCTGTGGGACATGACCGAATACCTTGGAGTTGGAAGACCTTCCACGCATGTTCTCGTTAAACTTCCGAGCAGGCTTCTTAGGTAGTTGATTATTCCCTCCATTTTACAGATGTGGAAACTGAGAGTCAGAAGTGACTTGCCCAGGATTGCACAGCTGGAGCTGAAAACTGGCTCACAGCCAGAACTCCAGGCATTCCTCTGCCAGGCGGAATTCTGTGTCTGGGCTTTGCTGGCGTCTCAGCAGTCAATGCATGACAAATGCTTTTCCCATCCTGCCAAATCAAATGCTTCCCTAAATATTTCTCTCCCACTCTTCCACCTCCATGCTTTTTCCCCTGCCTGGAATGCTTTTCTCAGTTCAATCTACCAGCTGCAGTTTTCGCTGTCCTCCGAGCCCTGCCACCTCCTGCACAAAGATGTTTCCATTTTCCGCAGTTTCTCTTCCTTTGAGCCTAGAAACACGTGGTCTGTACCTCAGTACAGCTGTCTCTTCGGCCCTATCTCCTGCCTCAACTTGATGCTCCAACATCCCAGCTGTTGGGGTTTCCTGCAGCTTCTGGCAGTTCCTTGCCACCTCTGGGTCTTTGCTTCTCTTTGTGCCTACAGAAGTGCCCCTTGCCCTGCCGCATCTCTTACTTATTATTCAAAATTCAGCTCAGGTATCACTTCTTCCAGGAGGCCTCCCCTGACCTCCCCAACCCCTAATTCTACTATTAGGAGCCCTTCCTCTGTGATGCCATGGTATACCGAGGATACCTCTGTAATGAACAAGATTGTTCATTCGTTCACCCATTCATTCATTATAGCAAGGTGGAGACTCTGGAGCCAAACCTCAGGTTTGAACCCTAGCTTCAAAGTGGGCAAGTTCTTAACCACCCCACCCTGCCTTACTATCTGTAAAATGAGGAAAACAATAGTCCCTACCTCAAACATTGTTGTAAGGATTAAATGAATTATCTGTATAGCATGTGTATAACACTGCCTCGAATGTAGTAACACACTAATACATTA